GGCAAAGGGAAGAAGAATAAATCTCAGGAGACAAATAGGTATAAGCCTGCCCCATTTTTAATGAGAAACAGACACAGAAAGGCCAAAAAGACCCTGTCAACATGATTTGCAATACTGTTACTTAATTTTTACCAAATGTGGTTTCTGCCATGCTTTAGTTGAAGTACATATTTATTTGATATTTCATTGGCAAAGTTTAAAAGAACCTCCAAAATACCTATCTGCTTCTGCTACGCATGACCCTACCAGTGTCACCTTCAACATACTGTAATGGTTTTAGGCAATGATAGCACTGCACAGATGTGATTTATTCTCAGATCATGGATGACTTTCTGCTAGTTTGCAGGGAAGAAGCACAACTTTCCCCTGGAGCGTGAAGCTGACTCACCTGCACGAAACAAACCTGCCTTCACAGAGAGACAGAAAATCTCCTTCCTTGAGTCAAACGTAGTATTACTCATAAACTGTTTGCAGAACAGAGTCTTCCCTAGCCATTAGTAAACCAAAAGTAGGAGGCAGCTCAAAGCCTTGGGATTTTAATAACATGAAGTTGGGGGCTCTTGCTGTTTGCCTTCTCGGTTTTGAGCCTTTACATTCATTTTCTCTAGCTCTTCCCTTTGATCCCTCTATATCAAAGGGAAAAGCTGAGATTCTTGTGTCTTGGAGTTGCTTCCAGGTGCTGTGTCAGCTTTGCAAAACACACCTAGCACCAGGAAAGACCCAGGAGTCCAACATGCTGAAACAGAGATATTTAGGGGGTGAGGGAGGTGACCTTCCAAATACCAGCCCAAAGCCACAACAGGAAAATGAGCATCCTGCACCTCCTGACACGTAGAACTGGGCTGCACATGCACATCAACAGCTAAGCGTCAAGGAGGCAAGGAGGTATGGTTAGCCAGCAGCGTGGGGGCAGCTGGAAGAGGAGAGAGCAAAGGAACGGGAGTGCCAGGACTGGAGGAGTGAGAGAAGAACAAGTGCAAGTCTGTTAATAAGAGGGCAGGGCCACAAAGAGGGGTGGGATCAGAGAGAGAAGCAGGGATAGTGAGGAAGGGGTGCAAGGAGCATCTTAACCACTGCAGAGATCTCCAGGGAGCTTGGAGGCTCTGGCTTCTCATTTGGGATGAGATTCAGAGGGCTAGAGGAGGCATGTGCGTGTGTGATGAGGAGCAGAGGAGATGCAGAGGCACTTCAGGCCTCCTCCCCCTGCTCCTCCAGAAACATTCCCCATCTGCTCCTCATCCATTTAGATCAGCGCGTGAGGCAGAGGACTCTCCAGTGTCTGCACACCAGAAACAAAGAAGGAAAAGCAACAGCCCAAGCCTCCAGTGTACAGATATCCCCATGAACCCCAGGGAACATCACGGTACAGGGACAAGTGCCATTCAGACAGCTAAGTGACGAAATGTCACCCTGGAGCAGGCCTCTCCCTGCCTCTGCCACACGAGAACCCCGTTCAGTGGGAAGCACGGTCCAGCTTGTACCTCACTCAGAGCCTTTGTGAAGGATGGGGCTAAATGGCAGATCTCCGGATAAATCATGACAGATCCCATGCATCCACCAACCCTTCCTTTCTCTGTTAATGGGGACTTGAAATACATCTTTGCACTTGAAATGCATATTCCCACACCTCTATGAAATGATGGGACCTTTGTACAATGTGTCTCTGGGTTTTGGTAACAAATCTTCCTGTCTCCCTCATTCAACCAATCTCCCTGTAAAATATGTATTTATATATAATGGAGCCCCTCTGATGGTGAAAAGCTGTCGCATTCTGCTCCCAAGATACTGACCTTAAAAATGACAGGGGATATATTTTTTTGGCAACATGAGAAAGTCTCTTCTGGTAGCCAGATTTATAGTGACAGTTCTTTGAAGGTGTTTCAAGTTAATGGGTGTCTTGCTGAGCTGAGTCCAAACATCTCATTGCAGGGTATTTTGGGGCATGGCAAGAGCAATACTTGCCAGGCCTGCCAGAGCCACGATAGGACTGGGACAAGCTGGAGAAGTTGGCATTATCGTTGGAGCTTCCATTCCTCTTGAGGACTGGTAAGCAATGGAACCAAGCCTGGCAAAACTGCTTTTAATGGAGCAGCTACACACCCAACAGAATCACTCTTATTTCTGGGGTACAGCCAAGGTTGAGCCCAGCAGATGGAAGGAGGAGAAACTTCCTCCTTCTTCAGGGATAGGACCTGCCTTTGAAAAGGCTGGGTCAACCCATCACCCTCCTGTCCCTCATCTCCACAGACCTCACAATACCAGGGGATTTCTGTGGGCAGTGAAAACCTCTGATAAGTCAGATCTTCATCCCTTTCTGAAAAGAACTGTACAACTTGGCTTGTAGAGTGGGTGGGATATACAGTCCCCAAGGCCAGCCTGCACTCCTCCACACTGTTCACAGTCCTGCCTCCAGTAAAGGCAAACCCCTGCACCCACTCTCAGACACCGAGGCTCTACAAATGTTAATTCATTCAAGCACTTGAAGTGTATTATACCACGAGCACACAGATAGCAACTGTATTGCTGTGACGGCAGTGCTGTCATTCACATTGCTCGCTACATCGCAGATAAAATCAGAGATGAGCAAAGGCTTCTCTAGCGTTGAGTGTTTCACAAAATTGGATCAGATTTTAAATAATAACAGTCCATGTCCTTTTCACTGACATCTCTCATACAGACACCCTTGGGCTTCAAAGACGGGTGGGAGGACATGATTGAATAAATCACAGGGGACACAGGGTTCTCCTGAGTTCTCTGTAGGGCTCCATCAGCAACTTGTGGTCCTGAAAAAAACCTGCCTAAGCTTGTGTTTCAGAATAGCCAGCCACAAAATGAATCTGCTCATGTTGTAATGGTCAGGGAAGTGCAGGTAGTCAACATACCAGCAAGAATATGTCCTTGGAAGTTTCTGGAGGAAAACCAAACTTCTCCTCTTGTTTCAGATTTCATTTTTAAGAAAGTGAATGAATGACCAGTGCTGTCCCATTGCCCTTTCCTAGAGAGAATCAAGGCAGCTCCTGGGTGTTACGAGACCAACCAGCCCAAGGGACCCAGACCCCTTATCTCTGTAAATCTGAAGGACTGTACAAAGCCAATGGTGGTATCTGAGTTGACCTGTTGCCAAACAGGCCTGCACAAAAAAGGAAGCTGAGACAATCTGAAATCAGTGGATTGATTATTGGCGTATCATCATGCTCAAGGGCTTTGACCATGCAAGGTCATTATACTCAACATAAAAAGACCAACAGAGTAAAAGGATGAGGAAAAGGAACAGTGTTTTGACCAGAGTCTCACAGGGTCTCGCAATCATCACCTGCCTCCAGCTTCCCCCTCCACCCCAACAGGTGACTGGGACTGTTTTCACTTCAGCATTGGAGGTGACATCCCATCCTTGCCCATCACAGAGCAGATGAGAGAACAATCCCAGCTCTGTCATCACATCCTTTCTCCTGACTTATTTTTATCTCATGGCCTCTTTAATAAAGATGAATATACAGAGTTATTCCCCTCCCCATTCCAAATTTTAGGTGTAAATATCCATAGCTTAGGGATAGAGTCAGAGACATCGCAGAGGCACAGAATATTTAAAATAAAATGGTTCAAGCAGAAGAAATGTCACTCATAAATTGGAAACTAAACCCCCATTTGTTTGCATGGGGAGAAGGATAGTCAGCCACATCTGAGCTCCCTGACCACAACCATCCTTAGGTAAAGGCTAATAATTTCAGTGTTAGCTACAGGCTGGGAAACAGCCACCTGAAGAAGATAAGAGGAGGGTCTATAGAATCACAGCAAGTGAAGAGGAAATGTTTATTCACTGTTGCATTTTTAAGGCAGGAATTTGCAGGTGGTAAAACTGCCATGAGGGTGGATGAGAGGAGGAGACTTTGTGGCCCATCTCCACCCTCAAGACTGTTGACCACTGCAGCGCAGTGCTGTCAGAGGGTTGGAGCGCACCACACAACATGTAGGGGGGATCTTGGTGTTAGGGAACTGGGTGATACTGGGAGGAAATCACACTGCCCTGAAAGTGCTACTGGAACCTGTAGGCATCCTCCAGGCAATTCATGAAGGCAATAAGAAGCATATCAAGTGGGTGTTTTATGTTTGGTGCCACTGACAGGATCCACAGTCAGGTGGGTAATACTTGCTCAATGAATCACTGAACACTAATGATTGGGTGAACATGTCCCACTTGAACTGGTAGCCTCCACTGAAGTTGCACTGTAGGGCACCTGCCATCACCCTACCACAATCCCTTATTTCTCCCTTTTTTCTGGGGATCTAAAGCTCCTTTTGAGCATCATGAGTCAACCAGTTACGATAACACAAGTAACCTTGTATGTCCACAAGACTAATTATATACAATGGATTTCTTCATGCAAAACTAGTTCCTCCTCCTCCCACCCCAAGCGGCACAGTTCCTAAGGCCAAACACTCAGCTGAAATCATCCAGCCTTCCATGTGGAACACCCATATTGGTCATTCCCTGGAATCTGGCTGTTAGTATTTTTAATAATAATACTAATAACACAACAGGAACATCATGCTAAACTTGGCCTGCGCCCTGGCAGTCAGCATCCTACACTCTGTGTCTCAAAGAGGCTCCAGCTTCTCAAATATTCCAGTTGGAGCCAAATGATTCAGCGTTACACTTATCCGTATCTGCGGCAGATGTAGCCACAGTTTGAATGGGGGTGGAGAGCAATGTGGTACACAGCAGATGAAGTAGCAACTCCTTGTCATGTAGCCAGTAGGATGTGTACTGCATAAAGCAATGCTGGGGGTGGTTTCTGCCCCCCTAGTTCTCTGCCCCTGGCCCCTCAAAAACTGCATCAGTGTATAAAAGTAATGGTTTCTAAGCATGAAAAACCATGAGATCAACAACGTCCTTGTAGCAACTGTGTTCACCATCAGAACTTTATCACACAATTCTGATGTCCATTGCACGATGAAGCTAAAACCTTTCAAAGCACCATGGACTGATAGGAGTTTCTTACCTGCTTCTCAGACATGATGTAGAGATGTTCATGATCCACGGAGAAAGCCATATCCCGTAATACGGGGCCAGTATCCACCACCTGCACAATCTCATACTCCAGCGTGTTCTTCGTGGTGCCGTCCACACGGATCTGCAGAGCAAAAAGAAAAGCAGGGAGCGAACATGAGTATTTCTCCTCCTTTCATGGAGACTGTAGAATAATCACTGGATAAATGTATTGTGGTCCAAGTCTTTTGGACAATAACCATTGTCATCGCAAAGTGAAAATTTCCCCTGCCTCCTCACTTAAAGGATAAAGCAGGTTTAACTGCTTCTGCTGGGACTGTAGAAGAACAATCCATAGCCTGCTCGCTTTTATCTGACACTATCACTGTGTTACTGTCATTGCCTGGACAAATCTACTGAGCTGAAAACGATGGCACAAAGGGCAGAATTTGTGGTGATGATGAGCAAAAGATAAAAAACACCACACAAGAGTCTGCAGGACTGACTCACTCAAATGCTAGACAGACAATATTATTGTTCTTACTGCTAATATTCCATGGGGCAATATATTATTGCAGTGTCCGATACAACAGAGTTTATTTCTTTTGTTGATTACATATATCAGATATTGAAATCAGTCCTGCACAAATATGGCACCTTATGATCCCAGACACATCTCATAACAGGGTGTCACTTAGAACCATCAATAACTGGAATTATGAGAAGGAACCAGATGCACAGTCCCAGTCTGTCCCTGACAGTGACCCAGCGATACAGAAGAAAATGTACAAAATGTACAAAACACCAGAGTTTTCTTTATCTGTCTAAAACCAGTTTCAGGAGATTGGGCTCAAAAGCAGCTGGAGAAGGTTTGTAAGTCCTTTCAATACTACAGTCACAATTCAGGATAATCTAGCTATCCACAGGAATGTCGGGTCCTTCTGGATCTTGTGAGGCTCTGTACTTCAGCGAAGCCCATGGCAATGTGTTTCAGGGATGCATCCACATTCTTTACTCCCTTGCTATGTTTTCAGTGTGTTGCCTTCCACTTTCAGAAGGATCTGCTGTCCTGCAGCAACACAAACATCATAATACCCTTGTCTAGAAGAAACAAAGTTGTAGTGGATCTGCTTCATGCTCCACGTGATCTCCATAGCTTCCTCACCGAAGGCAAACCAAAGGCTCCCTCCCAGTCCCTGGTTTTCACTTGTTCAGTTTGAAAGCTGAGCAAAAAGCACCCTTCCCACCCGAAGAAAATAACAAGCCATGGAGAATATATGGTATCAAGACCCATTCCCAGCGCTCCCTGGCACAGTCCATGAGCTTGTTCCTTCTGTATCAACCTTTCAGTCAAGAAACTCAGCCTGAATCATCTTCTATATTAGAAAGGCAAAGAGAAAGGAAGAGAGGGAATGGCAAAGGGTCTGGAAAGCCTGTATGAGCGAAAGCAGCAATGATATACAGATTCTTATCTCTGTCCTTCCTCGATCTCCCCATCTGCTGTATGACAACAAATAAATGTTGTTCCCCCAGGAAGGACAGGGGAAATAAGGCAGAGAGGAGTTAGAGGGGCTCCCTGTGACATCGAAGGGTGTGGAGGGTGCTCAGGGATGCTCAGATCCTACATGCTATCTGTGAACCTCCACAGAATTGGGTGCATGTGCAGGCATTGGCTGTTGGGATGGTGAAATGACACCGGAGGATTTGCAGTTAGTCATCTTGACGGATCTGGTGATAACAGCAACACACATCCCAACATCAAGACACAAAGAGGTCAGGGCCTAAAGCCCAATACTGAGCGTCCGTGTGTCCCGCTGGCTCTGACTGCCTTGGAGGAAAGGGCTCGCTTGTGTCCATGGTCTCAAATGGGTGAATTCAGCTCCTCGGAGTCTCTTCTTGAAAGTGGACACTGATGTGATTCACCCATGAGGTCAAGGGCAAAGAAGCCAACAGGCTCAGGATGAGTCATTCCCCTTAGGAAAGTCAGGAGGAAGGAAAGAGACACAGAAAGGGCTGCAGGTTGAGAAACACAGGAGTCTCCCTCTTGGGGCTCTGCCTAGGGCAGCTCGAATGCCCACACAGCAGAAGCCTTCCCCATTTCCCACAGGGACTTTTCCTGCACCAAGTTCTCACTTTCAGGGAGCAGTCACGGAGCTCTGCCTGCTGTTTCAGCTCTGTATCTCCCCCCAGTCCCCTGTGGCTGCTCGTCCCCATCAGAGGGCTGCAGAAGATCTTCGCTCTCTCTCTGCTGATCACTGTGATAAACAAACGTTATGTCTTTGCTGCCTTGACCTTGATTTTTCAGCACAGTCAGGGTCAGATCTGTAGGCCACTAGATATGTAAGCAGCCAATTATCACCCCAGGGCTCAGTCACTGTCCTCAGCCTTTGCCAGGCCCCATTAGAGGAGAAAGAGCTCAGAGATGGAAGAGGCAGGCTGGAGAAATAGCCGAGTGGAGTTAACAAACCGTGCAGACAGGAGGCACAGCCCCCAGGGATCTCCCCTATGCATTTGGTGCAGGTAAAAGATTGCAGAGGTTTCACACCAGGAAAACAGATACTCGGAAATGATTTAACAGCTATTGCTAGCCTAATTGCCTGCAAAGTCATTATTTTGCAGAGTGGGAGGGAGGGAGGGAGGGAGGAGCAGAGCTCATTCCACTGTACATGTGCAAACACACACACGTGCACTCATGCACACGCAGCCTGACAGCTGTAAGTGCAGAAGCCTCTCTCTCTCTCAAGTTAGTAGATAAGGAAAACTAAAATTCAGAAGAAGGCCAGAAAGTTTGGCAGACGTTAACCCACACTGCACAGGCAGTGTAAGTAAGCCCTGTACCATCAAAGAGGTGATTATTATAGCTTGCGGCCAGAAATCTGGCCCTTAACTCAAGCCATCCCCTTTACCTGGCTTAAACTCTGGCTTTCTTATGTTCAACCTCAGGCATGGAGCCCAGAGGATCCCCACCTTCCCCGCACATTCTTTGCAGTCCTGAGCATCAAACAACACAACAGAAATTTCTCTTAGAGATTTATTCCTGGCTCAAGGCACCCACTAGCACCAGGGCATTTGGGTTAGAAAAAAAAAAAATAAATCAAAAGAAGAGTCTGTGAAGGGGAAATGAGAAGATTCTTATCAAAGACTGCAAGTGATCACCACTAAATTCAGGCACAAAGACACAATCTCTGCTTAGGAAGCTCCCCAGGTTGCCAATTCCAGGGAATCTGAAGCATTCACCAGCAGTTTTCTCTGTTCCTGCTCTTCTTTGCTGGCATCAGCCATGAACTCCACGTGTAGCTGGAGAGCTGGGATAGATAGAGTTTCCTTCTGACTGAAGTATGGGTGTTCTTATATTCAAGATGTTCTTATTAGGCTGTGAGATTAGATCATGACTGGCAGTCCGGTGGAGATTTCTCCTTGAAACTCCCTGTGAACCATGAGCACCTCTGCAAGGCAAGAGAGGGGAGGAAGAAGCGAGGCAGAGGGCTCCAGGACCATACATGAGTCTCAAAATGCTCAGTCCACCGCTGCCACCACACCAGACCTGTGCACACTCCCCTACAAACACGTTTATCACCTCCACCACAGGAATACCCGCTCCCTCTGCCTACACATCTGTCCTGGACAGGCACATGCTCCTGGCACCACAAGATGCTCTACGCGGCACCCCAAGCTCCCTTTCCCTCCTTTAACCCGTCACACATGTGCAGAGCTCCCGGGGACCAGCGCAGTCTGGCTGCACATTAATCCTGCTTCCCGGAAGGCTGTACTCACTGGGCTTCGTTCTGCAAAGCTGGCTGCTATTAAAACATCAGCATGATGCTTCCCGAAGGTCAACTACCAGGGGACCTATTCTGGCAGCTGTTTGTTTGTTTGTCTGAACATTATCTAGGTCTGGCTGTTTATTTACAACCATTGAAGTATCAGACAATAAATATCCTTTCCCAGTAGCAAACAGATGCTTGCACTCGAATGTTCTGACTAGCGCTGACTTCAAAATGATCTCCTTAATGAGCAAACAACACCATTAATCTTTAAAGACACAGGCTCTGGCCTTCCCTGAGCTCCCACCCTGGCCATGGCTAGCCCTACAGGCATCCTGGCAAGCAGCACATAGGTCTGGTAGATGAAAGAATGTAAAAGATACCTTCCATCACTCAACCGGTGCTTTTCAGCATTATCTGGGTCTCCCCAGCTGCTGTGGCGTCCACAGGAGGGTGATGCTTGAGCATAGTCTTCCAGGCAAGCTGGTGGCAGATGACTCAATCACATTTCTAAGAGGGAGGTGGGTTTTAGAATTTGGGATCATATGACTGTCGAAGAAAGGGATACAATAAACCCCTCCAAATCATGGGTATGGACTCAAAAGGGTCAAAGAAAAAGCAGTGGAGTTGGAGGACAAAGAAGGAATTGGTGTTAGCAAGCACTTAGCGACATTGCTGGAAGATAAACGACATCATGGCTAAAAACTAGGATCTTTAAGCTCACCAGAGCAACAGAAACACCTGCCTTCAGACTGGAACATTAATCCTGTCCTGTGGTCTGAGAGGACCATGTCCCTGTTAGCATGTTATTGCTCTGCTGAGCTAGTTGGGGACGGTCTCTTTTGGAAAGCCTCATTTTGCAGATGGGGAGGTTAAGTGAGGAAGGGGTGAAGTGACCAAGCATGACAGCAGCAGAGCTGGGAAATACTAGATACTAGGTGTGCTTCAGGAGATTTACTTCAGACCCACCAAAGCCTGATCCCGTAGACTGAATTGGTGTTTGGAGCACAGTAACATCATCCAGTTTTGTTCTACCCAAGAAAAATCCAGCTCATACACTTTAAGACTGCTCTGCTGAATGAATCACAGCAAATTGATCATGGTCAACTGATTGTCTTCAAAATTGTCTTCAGACACACTTCAGAAGCACATTCTTGAATGAGGACTCCTGTTACCACCTCACCTCTATTTTGTTCTTCCCGCAGCTTGGACTGGTCACTGGCAGCAAAAGAATGGATTGTTTCCACTGTGCCAACTCAGCTCAGCTGTTTCCTACTCTTCTAAAACCATCACCTCCTGCCCAGAGCATCATTCCTGGCCCACTAGAGTCAAAACAAGACCCTTTCCATTAAGTCCTTTGTCTAAAGCATTTGAAACCCAC